CCCCCCCCCCCCCCCATCCCCTTTTACGTCCGAGGGTTAATTCATGGTGTCTAAGAAATAAAGTCAAACTCGCCTGTGGTTTACAATCACTGAGCCGTAACGTAATTATGCAAGTTCTATTTTCTGCCGCTGAGCTTGTCGTATTCCGGTTCAATGATTCTTGGCGCGCAAATCTTACATATCAATGAGGAGAAGGAAAACTAGCTCTTTTTAGAACGGGAGACAATGTTTTACTTACCTATCCCTCTTGCTCTTCTTTCTCCTCATTTTTATTATTTTCCCACCACCAACACCACCACTACCACCACCACGTTTCTATTGCTTTCCCCCTCCTCCACCACCACCACCACCACCACATTCCTATTGTTTTCCTCCTCTACCACCACCACCACATTCCTGTTGTTTTTCTTCCTCCACCCCCACTACCACCATCAATTTCTATTGTTTCCCCTCGTCCAACTCCACCACCGCCACCACCCTCGCCACATGTCTTTTGTTTTCAGTTCTCGTTCTATTTTCTTCCGAGAGGAGTTTATGTAGGAGGTCATACAGACCAGACCCTGGCCAAAAAGGCCAAAATCAGGTCTAAAAGGTCGAACCCAAATAACATACCTGGTAGGAAAATGGTAAGAGGAGTGAAAACAATAGAAATGTGGTGAGGGTGGTGGTGGTGGTGGTGGTGTAGAAGGGAAAACAATAGAAATGTGGTGGTGGTGGAGGGAAAACAATAGAAATGTGGTGGTGGTGATGGTGCATGGTGGAGGAGGGAAAACAATAGAAATGTGGTGGCGGTGGTGGTAGAGGAGGAGGAGAAACAATACAAATAATATATATTTAATATGGTACGGTGGTGAGGGAGGAGGAGGAGGGAAAACAAAAGAAATTTGGCGGTGGTGGTGGCGGAGGAGGGAAATCGCGACAATCCCGTTTTGTTAGCAATTGAATGCGATATACCGCAATAGCAGTGAGGAAGAGAATTGAAGTTAATTGTAGTTAAAGTTTGGGTTTCTACGAGAACAACGAGCCTCGACAAAAAACGTTTGCCTTTGTTGTGCTAAACTTTGCCTGTATAACGACCGTCGCATCCGGGAAACTGAAAAGAGGAGTTAATGGTTAGCCCTTGCTCATATAAATTATATTAAAAGTTAAAAATCGAGCAATCGCAACTTGCATGACACTATTAAGTCTGATCAGTCTTTCTGATTCTTTGGATATTCGTCAATGCTAGTGACAGTAAGAGGGGAAATCAAGCTAAGGGACTACATTATAGAACTGATATGTACGTAATTAATAATTAAGTTTTTAATTTATTCTAATTTCTGCTAAAATTACATCTCTTTTGCTAAACTAAGGTCAAGATAGTTTTCTAACCTTTATTTTAAACAGTGCACAAATACAGAACTGAATCGCTTATGAACCTTTTGTGCTGCATGCAAAAGAAAATTTTTGTGTAGAGTTGATAAGACAAATGCCCTAGCCAATCTACATTTTCTTCCGCTGAATTAGTGCTTAAATCATGCTAGATAATTCTGGGGTACCTCTGGTAATTTTTATTTTAATAGTAAGAATTGGGCTGCGATTATTCTTATCCTAACAGTCCTTGCTTGGCTTCCAGTCTTGTGGCATTTAGACAAAGATAAACAATGGGCTCTGGGGTTGTTTATTATGAACAGTTAACAAAGAAGCACAAAATTACAAAAGTTTCTTGATAAATTATTATGTTATTTCAATCTCATCACTATACATAAGGTATAGTAAATTGCCTTTGAAATTATTAGCTGAAAAAAAAAATATAGAAACGTTTGTCTATATAAATGTATTCTTTACTTTAAGTTATTCCGTTAACTACAAGCAGAAGCCGTTTTAAATATCTTCCTTAAAAAAAGTTTGTTTTTCTTGCGCACTTATACAACAAAATTTACGTTCTCGGTGTTGCAAGGCACATGCGATGAAATAATAAACTTGGCACTACTGAGTTTCCTTATAACCATAATTACTCTAAATGCAACCTATAATTTTATCCAGATGCACCAATCCCTCAAGACAATTGTCTTTTTAATTTTGTGGGCATCACCGTACTGCACAGCAACTGTACTATAGTGCAACCTACTGCACTGCAGTTTACTAGGCTAAGAATTTGTCATGCTCTATTTTACTGCACTTGAAGGTAAAAAGTAACCAAATGATTCAACCCACTGAGGTTCATGGCGGGCTGACGGACGATGGACCTTCGATCCAAAACGGCTTCCCTATTTTTTCTTCTAAGAAGACTTCCATTAATTCGAAATATGCCTTTACAGGTAAAAGAGATCAAGCCATTTTAAGCCTAGTATAAAAAAGACTATCAGGTGTATTAACTCAGTTACATGTATTCAACTACGATATATTCTAAAACTCAAGCATTCGAAACGTTTAGTCTACACTTTTTGGATAAAATGGAATACAAGGTAATGGCAATTTACATTGATATCACAATTCCACACCAGAATTAAAAGCGATTAAAAAATTTGCATAACCCTACTTATAACATAAGGGAGGTTTCCCCTTTTTGCTTCGAAGGTGGGAGTTTTATATTTGTATGCTTCTAACGAGCACATTATACCGGTCCTTTTATTATTGAACTGAGCTTCCATCAAACGGACAAAACCGTCGTTTTTGCCATGCCTTTGCTCATGACGCTTTCTTCATTGCGACTCCTTTTGAAAATGAACGTCATTTATTCCTTTCCCCTTCACCTAACTTCTCTAACAGAGCATCAAGTTTTCTCTGCACGCATTCAAACTTTGTTTCAAGGTTTCTCTCCACGCATTCTAACTTTGTTTGAAGTTTGGATTCGACCACTTCGGCGATGTTCGATGTTAACTCCTGGCCTTGAAAATCAATGTCCTCCCTTGCACACATCTAAGGCAAATATAAAGAAAAACAACCTTAACCAAAGTACAGTCAAACGTGATCAGAGCCGCCTTTTGTCTTCTTGAGTGAGAAGGAGAAAAGGAGGATCTGGCTGAATCACGTGAAACTTTTGAGGTCGCTTCAACCCAGTTTTCCGTTCTCACTTGTGACGCAGCTTTTTATTTTCGAGTTGGAGCATCCGTTTACTGATAATCCAGCGAGCTGTACCAAGCGCCACAGCTATTAGGCTTGGGGCACAGGGAGAAGAGAAGTTATTTGCGATGGCAAATGAAGCGAAAATTCCGATGTTTGTCGCTGTTATTCGTCCGCAGTAATGGAGGCTTATGCAGTCTTCCCATGATGCATTGCGCCGTAATATATATTATTGAAATGGTTTGTGACGTCATCACTTTATAGATGGATGCGTTGAGTAAACAACTCCATCAAGCTTCCGTCTTTGGGAGTAACCCGAAAACACTGACCCCCGGTCCATGGGCCCCCCTACGGACCTGGTCCACGGACCACTGTACGGACCGGTCTACCGACCCCCACTACGGACCCCCCTTTTCGGACCTCCAATAAAAAGACAATTAGAGATTTGACTTACCGTTTGTTTTGTTTTGTTTTTTGTCATTGCTGACTCCTTCACTGTGGCGATGAAAGAACCTGCGTACTTCGAAAACGACCGATAACTTAGCTAACTTGTGAATTCGCTGCTGGCCTCCGATTGCCTCCACCATTTTGTTCGGCTCATTCCTCCCCGTATTCAGTGACTCGTCCCAGACTTCAAAAATACGACACGGTATCTCCCCTTGTTTTCATGTTTTTCGTGGAACAAAAACAGATTTTTCTTTTCAACAAAAAAAGATTCCTAAAAAATTTCACCTCAGGGAGGATTCACCCATTTTTCATTTCTCTTAATTATTCGACTCAAATTGTTGTCATGAAGTGTGAAGGAACGCAAGGTTGGTTCTTGAATGACATTTTCGCTGCCGTTGCCATCCTGCATCTTGAATTCTCAACACAAAAGAGTTAAAGCTCTTTCGGCGAAAAAGAGATGCAATGAACTTAATAAGGAAAAAAAAGTCTTACCTTCCTTATTTTTAAGCTTGTTAGTACTTTTTCCAACTCAATCCTCTAATAGTGATGTCCTCTTAACAGTTGGCTACTTACTTGCAAACACCGCAGCAAAACGCACTGCGCATGAGCACAAAATTTAATATCCGGTCGGCTTTTTATTTCCGGTCTAGTATATAAACCAATTTCGTAAGCATAACTTTGCCGTCGCGTCAAGTTAAAAGCAAAAAGGGAGAAAAAGGTAAAAAAGCGGGCGAAAACAATCACTTCATTCGATGGCTGATATATTTTTCTAGTGTCAAACTTTTGCACCACATGGTTGTCTGGTTGCACCAACGCTGCAAATGATGTTTGAAGTTGTAGCGCGGTAGCGCTCGACAAGACACGCGAATTTGTTTTCACTGGCTTTCTTGCATGCTCCTGGTTTGGCATAAGTTAATTAACAAATAGATTCCATTTTGCCGTGCGTCTGTTCAGTAATAGATCACAGATGACGTCAAAATGTCGTAAAAACAAAGAAGTGGCACACGAGCCGCAGGCGAGTGTGTCACTGTTGTTTTTACCACATTTTGACGTCCTCTGTGATCTATTACTGAACAGACCCACGGCAATATGGAATCTATTTGTTTTATACAGTGATCAGAAAAGAAAAAGACCGATACACATACCTGCCCCGAACCGCTTGACCTTTTGAGGATTTGTGCTAGTTTAGGCATTTTTTAAGTCCCAAACCCAACTTTTCATCTTAGCTTCTTCTTTATCTTACTTGTGTACAGTTTCTTCGAAAAGTTTTTCACCGTCTTTTCTTGCTCAAAGAAGAATAATAGCGAAAACATTTTGCAAAACAGCGAGTCTCTCGTAGCGAAGACACACGATGGCAACTGTTGTGAAGATTTCTTGTAGTTTAGGCATTGTCAAGTAGTCAATAGCTTTTTTGGTCTCCGTTTCTCCATTTTTCTTCTTTGTAAATAGCTCCTGCTAAACTTTTTCCGAAGCTTTCACTTGCCTCAATCCGAAAGAATCTCACAAACATTTTCAAAACCGCGTGCCATGTTGAACAAAACAAAGAAAACAAGTTTCCCGTGACGTCGTCCATGTATCTGTACTCTAATAGATCATGGGCAACGACCAATCACAGCGCGCGTAGCATTCACATCATTGTATAATTTGAGATATAAGGCGATAACTAAGAAAAGGATCTAACGCAATACTTATGAAAGAAACCAAAATAAAGACGTCATTATTATAATTAACATCACACTAGAACCAAGAAATAAAAGTTCAGTCCGTTCAATAATTATTTTTTATCAGAGAAAACAAGAATTCAAAACCCTTTATTTGACTCTATACAAGACGGACATCTCTCTAAGACGGACACTTAGTGCCGGTCCCAAAGGTGTCCGTCTTGGAGAGAGTTGACTGTACGTGCAAGCTTCACCACAAATTTCCAACTCATTTTTAATGCATTCGCCAAGGGTAAGATGTTATTTTGATCTTGATGTATTTAACTGACATATTTCTGCGCAGGTTACACGGACAACCAAAAAGCCTTCACAGAGAACTCGTCCGCTATTCCATTGGACTGTCCTCTTGTTATAGATGTTCCTGGCGGCGTAGCAGCCACGGCTTTTTTATTTTCTTTCCTTACCGTCTTTGGAAACTCTGGTTGTGATCGCAATCGTAAAGGACCCGTTCAATGAGCTGAGGACTTTTCCAAACTACCTCATCTTGAATCTGGCGGTATGTGACCTAATCGTAGGTATTCCAAGCGGACTGTTACTGGGTTTATCTCATTTTTATGTATCATATAATTTGAACTACGTGGCCTTCACTTCGCTGTATACGTCCATGGTAGCATCTGCCTTGACTATACTAACACTTGCATTTGAGCGATACATCATGGTCGAAGCGCCACTTAAAAGCCGGGAATATCTGATTCACTCACACTTAAGATTGGTCATTGTCTACATATGGCTGTTTGCCCTGTGCGTGGCTCTGCTTTCTCTTCTGTATAGATGCAATGAGGCAGAGTACAGGCTCATAATCACCGACGCAATCGGATTTCCAGTCGTGGCCCTCATGTTTCTTATATACTCACGGATATTTCTCTTGGTGCCAAAATGGATTCGGCAAGATCTCGATCCTTCTATTTTAGAGAGTCAAAGATTGTTAGGCAGTGACAATCTTTCCGAAAACATTCGCACGCGTGAAAGGCACATCGCTTTTTCAGTGTTCCTGTTTGTTGGTGTTTTTGCCCTCTGCTGGACACTATGTTTTGTTATGGAAAATGTATTTTACAAACATAGGAGATCTTCCTCTCTGGCAACTACCGCAGATTGGGTGAGGGTTTCGGGACTGTTGAGTTCATTGTTGAATCCCGTGATTTACGCATTAAGATACGAAAAGTTTAGAAAGGCGATTCGCCACATTTTTGTGTCATATTGGTTTTATCAGACTTACCGCTTTCGTTTTCCTTAATTTGTTAAAATATTTTCAAAGTAAGGATAAAACATCTAACGGCTACCTTTTTAGGGAATTAGAGGAGCGACTAAACATTATTAAAGGAGCAGGATCTCAATTTTTTTTTAATAACGTTGCTTATTTTGTCATCTACGAGCTTTGAACTACAAATGATGAAAGGAACGTCTTTAAATGTCAAATCACTAGGTACATATATCGTAACAAATATTGATAATCTCGTAAAATGGCATGACCTTTCCGTTTAATCCGCTTATCCACATGCATATTCTCCAAACTGATCTTCATACCTTTCCTTAAAGAATTAGTTGAGAGAATTTGATAAAAGATAAAAGCATAATTTCTTATTGGTGATCAATAATTACTTCTTGTATAACACCATTTTATCTTAAAAATGTAATTAGTTTGCTGTCGAGGAAAGAATTAATGTTGATAGCAGTAGTACAGGAGGGATGAAACTAACCTTTTTTGCAGTTGAATCTCATTAATTTGCGGTGGAATACATTAACGCCGATGACGTCATAGCCTTTTGTCTTTATTTCATGAATAAAATGCGCAGGAATCTCATTAAGATAAGGTCGTGTGCTATTTTTAGTTGGTTTAGGTTTTCTAGTTACTTTAAGGTCGATAAATGTCTTCGTTTTCGAATGGTTAATTAGAAAATGAGAAGCGTTCTCAGCACTGTACTGCATTGCATCTACTGTGCCATGCTCTATTTTACTGCACTTGAACGTAAAAAGTAGGTTCATGACGGGCGGACGATGGAACTTCGATCCATAACGGTTTCCTTATTTTTTTTTCGTTTAATAAGCATCCATTAATTCGAAATCTACCTTTACAGGTAAAAGAAGGTCAAGCAATTTTAAGCCAAGTATAAAAAGGAGTATCAAGTGTATTAACTTACATGTGTACATTCATCTACGATATATTGACTCAAGCATTCGAAAATTATGTTGGGGAACTGCTCAGGGGAAGAACTCAGGAATCGGTTCTCAGTACAAAGTTTATTTGATGTTGACAGGTGGGCGTTAAAGTTTCAACTCTACTCTTCCTAGCTAGAACGACGCTAAAGTACAACGCATTCGAGTACCCAACAACCTGCCGTGATTGGTCAAAACCTAACAACTATTCAAAAGTCTTTGTGTACATAGAAACAACGGCATCCTTTGAGGGATTAGAACTGTGATTAAGGTTGTGGTAGTGAAAACTCAAAGTATCTGTAGATTCGGTTATGAAAATTGTATTAATGGAAGCTAACTTCGATCGAACGTATTTTGACACCAATCACCAAGTGGTCGCTGGAATAAGTGCGCAGTACTTTTCGGAACGTGATCTGTCTACTTCGATTGCATAATCCAGATGAAAAAAAATTTCTGATAAAAGACGCCGACAGAGATTAGTGAAATTACATTAAAGGTTATTAACTAAAGTGCCCAATGTTCTTCCCGTAAACGGAGTTACGACTCCACAGCTTTTGCTGACAATAAGGCCAGAATAAGTTTCGACTCTAATATCTTGTTTACAAATATGTTTTTATATTATCGTATCGTTTGCTCTTAAAGCTATGATCAAACTGTTGCATAATCCAAGGCACAACTGTTAATCCAAATAGCCAAAACAACTAATTAGACTGAATTAACTGGAACAAAGATTGTTTACTGCCTAAGAGTAAAAGTAATTAAGTACTTCGGGTCCAAACGTGCGCGTTACTTATCGACACTCCGACCATCATTTTTTTCGCAAGCTTTCAATGTCAATCACGTTTTCTTAGTAGTTTCTGATAAACCTGGTACCTTATAACACCCAAAACACGCAAAACATGAAAAGTCATTGAATAAGATAAATGGCCCGATAAACATTCAAAACACTCCTTACTTAAAACACTCGAATGATACAAAATGGACGATTCATAAATAGTAAAACACTCCATCGAAATATAAAACTATTGGACGCAAGTAAAACCGTAAAAGTGCGAAATTGTATCCTAACACGTTTAGTCTACACTTTTTGGATACAACGAAATTTTTGCTGGAATACAAGATAATTGCAATTTACATTGACATCGCGATTCCACACCAGTGTTCTTCCCCATGTAGAGATCTTCAAAAACCTACCTAAAAGCGATAAAAAACTTGCATAACCCTACTTATAACATAAGGGGAGGTTTCCCTTCTACTACGAAGGTGGGAGTTTTATGTTATTTATACACACAGTATGCTTCTAACGAGCACATTACCAGTCATTTTGTTATTGAACTGAGCTTTTATCAAACACGCAAAACCGTCGTTTTTCCCCATACTTTTGCTCATGACGGTTTCTTCATTTCGACTCCTTTTAAAAATGAACGTCATTTATTCCTTTCCCCTTCACCTAACTTCTCCAGAAGAGCATCAAGTTTACTCTGCACGCATTCTAACTTTGTTTCAAGGTTTCTCTCCACGCATTCTAACTTCGTTTGAAGTTTGGATTCCACTTCGGTGATGTTTGATGTTAACTCTTGGCCTTGAAAATCAATGTCCTCCCCCGCACACATCTGAGGCAAATATAAAGAAAGACAACCTTAACCACAATACAGTCAAACGTTCGCAACAAATAAACAATCAACCTGTGATCAGAGCCGCCTTTTGTCTTCTTCAGTGAAGAGGAGAAAAGGGGGATCTGCCTTAATCACGTGAACCTTTTGAGGTCGCTGCAGCCCAAATTTGTGTTCTCACTCGTGACACAGCATTTTGTTTTCGAGTGCGAGCATCCGTTTATTGATAACCCGATGGTCATAACCGAGCCCCCTGTACCAAGCGCACAGCTTTTAGGCTTGGGGCATAGGGAGCAGAGGAGTTATTTGCGATGGCAAATGAAGCGAAAATTTCTCTTTTTGTCGCTGTTATTCGTCCGCAGTCATAACTTTCAGCAGCTTTCTGGAGCATTGGATAATATTTTACCAGGTTTGATCGCACGACGGTTTGAAAGGTCCAGTTGATAACAGAATCTACAGTAGAAAGAGGCCACTCATGCGTTCGACAGTAAAATTTTCGTTTCAATTGCTATCAAAAATAACTTCTCTGCACCCTGTGCTTGGAGTCGGAACTATATCCTAGCAACATGCCGCGCATGCTCAACAAAGATTTTACGCGATTCATGCAGATTCTTTCTCGAGTTCGCCAAAGTGGAGCAAGCGAATTAAAACCTTAAGGCCCTGCTAGCAGAGACAGAAACTATTAGGTAGGCGAAGTTTCCACATCACAAGTGCCAGTACTACGAGATTAAAAAGTGGAGGTTGTTGACTTACTAGATCAGATGGAGTTTTGTAAGGCAGTTCTAACTTTTGGGTCTGTGGACAAAATCCTTATATTCAAATGAATCAACTTTGGTGATTTCAGTCAATTCTCTCTGAGACGGGCTCTGACCTTTGAGGCTGGCACTACGTGTCTGTATTAGAGAGATGTCCGTCTTATCCTAACCCCCCCCCCCCCCCCCCCCCCCCCCCCCACCCACCACCCCCCATGCCCCAACATCTGCAACTCCAACACAATACAATTAAAAAATAGCACAACCAAGCACACACCCCCAGACCAAAAGCACACCATCGCCTACACCCCCCCCCCCCCCCCCCCCCTCCACCCCCACTAAAAAGCTCATCCTTAGAGGGTAAACGATCTTTAATTCACAAATTATTTATCATTATCTATTATCCTTTCGTTTCCTTTCGTTCTATTCTTTCTCACCACAACTCCTTCTGTATTTGTTGGATTGGTACGCACCTAAGTATATCATCTTGGTTTGATAACAACAATTTAGATATGAAACTATTCCACGTTTAGAACAAAGTGTCTACCGCGGTAATATTACCTTAGCCAGAACGCTGTTTTCGTATTCAAAGGCCAGGTAAGGGTACAGAGGTCTGTCCACGCTGTATTCAATATAAGATGGGTTCATATCTTCGGGAATTATCTTGCTTCCGTTTACACTAAAAACAACAGGAATTCGGATTTGACCGTCTATCTCTAGCTTGTCTTCAAACTTGACAGTGCATCGAATGATGTCACCTCGGCGAGCTGCGGTAGAGCCTTATTAAGGGAAAAACAAATAATAATAATAATTAAACTCCTTACCAACCACCAACTGTCTTTACAAGTCGAAGGGTTAGAAATCAGACTAATAGGCACTCGTAGTAGTACATCTGAAACATGACAGCCTTTTCTTTTCTTTTTTTTTCAGTAAAAACTGTCACGTGGATTAAGTAATGCGAAAATCGATAATATAAAATGAGCAAAAATAGAACGGACTCATAAAAAACTTTGACTGCAACTTTGTCTTTTCGTCAGCCTTCCGCGTTACACTCTTTAGGACTAACTTATTCATGTAACCCAAAATATTTTCAAGTGCAATACTATGCTTAATTGAATAAGATCATTTTCTTCCATGTTTCTTTCCAGTGTGTCGTACATTTTCCTGTCATCCAATGTAATATTTTGCCTTCGTTAATCAAAATAAAAAATATGCTAGATTACAAACCTATAGTCTTTTTCCCGTTAGCGTTATTTTCTGTATCAAATATTTTCCTGTCATCTGTGTGAAATCCAACTGTTCCCTTGGCCCATCCAGGCATCAATTCCGTGTCGTAATCGCCAAACACTACTCCTATCCCCAGCCATCGTGTCTCCCCACTTTCCAGAATCATCACCTTGGAAAGAAACAATTTTGATTCTGAGCAAAATTTCAACGTTGATGGGTCTGGCAGATCGAGTAGCCAACCTCGGCGGGTCACCACACGTATCATACATGTAAAATGAGAGATTATATATGGAACTTAAAGCACTTTGTCGGCTGCATTTAAATGATGTTATTGTGAAAATGGTGTATTCTTACCTCAAAATGTGGAAATCGGGGGGAAAAGGGTATCGTGTATCTAGCGCCATGATTCAGATCATAGACGCGTACATCTGGGTGATGGGTTATAAGGTAACCGTCTACCAGTATAGCTTCATGGGCTTCCCACGCCTGTGAAGTCAACAGAAACACCTTTCTCTTTAACCCCTGTGTTTGTTTTATTATGATGATAACTTAAATATTAGCTTACATTTAAGTCTGTAAAGTTATGTTTTCAAGTTTCCTGTGAGTTCTTGAGTCTCGTCAGTGGGTATCATTCTCTTTGAAGCCCTTAAAGATAAGCCAGTGAGGCCGACCACACGCTGTCAAAGATAGACTACCACACCGGGTACTTCGTTTCCCTGCTCCTGAAAGGGTTTAAAAACAGGGCCTGCAGTTTATCGTCGGCCTTATCTGAAAAGACTAGAAAGTCTAACCATTTGAAGATGGCATTTCCAAGGATGCACTTTCACCTCAGTTATTTATTAGTAAATGTAATCACTTTGGCGACGGCCTTTTATTAGTGGGAAAAACATTTTTTCCCCAAATTTTCCTTTTTCGACCGGTTTTCCGCCAGTAACCAAGGAAATAGCCTAAAATGGGATTTACAACACTTTATTATGACATACTTTACTACTGTAAATTGACTTCCTCGGTTTTTGTTGTGCTTTTTTTTACGAATTTATTTCGATCTTTCAATTGATCATTGTTGTTAAAGTGGAATGGTTATATATTTTTGTTAGCTTTTTTGGACCTGACCGTACACAACGTGTAATAGCATTCCTATCATTTTGAACTTACTGACCAATAGAAACATCGCATTAATTTTTTTCTGTCACAATTTGTGAACGAAAACATTGTCAAAGGATTGTGCACTGTCAGGGAGCTTCCAACCTAAAGTACAGCACCGTTATTTTCAGATTTGATGTCTGCCGGCTTTCCTAACCAGTCTCCTCCACTAACTATGCTTTGATACATTGCCCCCTTTTTTTCCTTTTCATTTCTTTTCTTATCCAGTTTTGCTTCTTAGATGATCGTTTTTCCTAAGGAGTTTTGCCCCGCCAACTTTCCAGGAATTGGAGAAATTCAATTTGCAAAGAGTAGTCAGTGAATTGTTTTTGTTTTTTGGTGTGTAACTCGAACTGGGTTGGTCAGAATTTCCAAAGTGAGTTATCTGTGCAAAGATCGCTGCTCACCAACCTAAACAATTGCACTACCTGGAAGCATAAGTCGTTTAGAAATGGGCAATCTGCATCGTTCCATACGGAACGGAATTGACCCAGGGTTAAAGACCTGAGTTGTGGTCCGGCCAGGATTTGAGCCCACAGCATACCACTGGGCAGATCGGCACTCACCTAACTGCGTACGTTATCTTAATTCATGAGAAACATATCGAAATTTCCATTCCTAAGAACACTCTTTTGTGCAGTTTCCACTAGATGTAACTGTTAGTAGTACATACACCACAACCTCTACCGAAAAGATTTTGGTATCCTTCCCCTGTACATATAAGCTATACGTAAGGAAAGGCTTCTTTGATCGCACCAATATTTGTGTATGCTTGAATACTTTAATTAATTAAGCGTAATTTTCTTGTGTCTAGTGGCTTAATTGCGCTCCTTGTCCGCTTTCGTGCTACCAAGAAACGACCCACAAGAATCATCGCATCGCTCAACTACATTTGCTCTTCTTCAAACGTAATAAGGTAATGTTAGAGTAAATCGTTTGCGTACCATGTAAAAAAAGTCGCCAAAACTCAAGCAATGCTCTTTTTCTCTCAGTCATCTTTCTGCTAAAACTTACGATCAAAACAATGAAAAACCTCGCCGAGACGGTCAAAAGAATTCTCATAAACTCCTTACCAACCACCAACTGTCTTTACAAATCGAAAGGTTAAAAATCAGACTAATAGGCACTCGTAGTAGTACATCTGAAACATGACAGCCTTTTCTTTTTTTTTTTTTTTCAGTAAAAACTGTCACGTGGATTAAGTAATGCGAAAATCGATAATAAAAAATGAGCGAAAATAGAACGGACTCATCAAAAACTTGACTGCAACTTTGTCTTTTCGTCAGCCTTCCGCGTTACACTCTTTAGGACTAACTTATTCATGTAACCCAAAATATTTTCAAGTGCAATACTATGCTTAATTGAATAAAATCATTTTCTTCCATGTTTCTTTCCAGTGTGTCGTACATTTTCCTGTCATCCAATGTAATATTTTGCCGTCGTTAATCAAAATAAAAAATGTACTAGATTACAAACCTATAGTCTTTCTCCCCTGACCGATCGTATCAAATATTTTCCTGTCATCTGTGTGAAATCCAACTGTTCCTTCGGCCCATCCAGGCATCAATTCCGTGTCGTAATCGCCAAACACTACTCCTATCCCCAGCCATCGTGTCTCCCCACTTTCCAGAATCATCACCTTGGAAAGAAACAGTTTTGATTCTGAGCCAAATTTCAACGTTGATAGGTCTGGGAGATCGAGTAGCCAACCTCGGCGGGTGACCCCACGTATCATACATGTAAAATGAGAGATTATATATGGTACTTAAAGCACTTTGTCGGCTGCATTTAAATGATGTTATTGTGAAAATGGTGTATTCTTACCTCAAAATGTGGAAATCTGGGGGAAAAGGGTATCGTGTATCTAGCGCCATGATTCGGATCATAGTCGCGTACATCTGGGTGATGGGTTATAAGGTAACCGTCTACCAGTATAGCTTCATGGGCTTCCCACGCCTGTGAAGTCAACAGAAACACCTTTCTCTTTAACCCCTGTGTTTATTTTATTATGATGATAACTTAAATATTAGCTTACATTTAAGTCTGTAAAGTTATGTTTTCAAGTTTCCTGTGAGTTCTTGAGTTTCCTGAGTGGGTATCATTCTCTTTGAAGCCCTTAAAGATAAGCCAGTGAGGCCGACCACACGCTGTCAAAGATAGACTACCACACCGGGTACTTCGTTTCCCTGTTCCTGAAAGTGTTTAAAAACAGGGTCTGCAGTTTATCGTCGGCCTTATCCGAAAAGACTAGAAAGTCTAACCATTTGAAGATGGCATTTCAAAGGATGCACTTTCACCTCAGTTATTTATTAGTACATGTAATCACTTTGGCGACGGCCTTTTATTAGTGGGAAAAAAACATTTTTTCCCCAAATTTTCCTTTTTCGACCGGTTTTCCTCCAGTACGCAAGGAAATAGCCTAAAATGGGATTTACAACACTTTATTATGACATACTTTACTAATGTAAATTGACTTCCTCGGTTTTTGTTGTGCTTTTTTTTACGAATTTATTTCGATCCCTCAATTGATCATTGTTGTTAAAGTGGAATGGTGATATATTTTTATTAGCTTTTTTGAACCTGACCGTACGCAACGTTTAATAGCATTCCTATCATTTTGAACTTACTGACCAATAGAAACATCGCATTAATTTTTTTTCTGTCACAATTTGTGAACGAAAACATTGTCAAAGGATTGTGCACCGTCAGGGAGCTTCCAATCTAAAGTACAGCACCGTTATTTTCAGATTTGAAACTATGCTTAACTATGCTTTGATAAATTGCCACCTTTTTTTCCTTTTCATTTCTTTTTTTATCTAGTTTTGCTTCTTAGATGATCGTTTTTCCTAAGGCGTTTTGCCCCGCCAACTTTCCAGGAATTGGAGAAATTCAATTTGCAAAGAGTAGTCAGTGAATTGTTTTTGTTTTTTGGTGTGTAACTCGAGGTGGGTTGGTCAGAATTTCCAAAGTGAGTTATCTGTGCAAAGATCGTTGCTCACCAACCTAAACACTTGCACTACCTGGAAGCATAAGTCGTTTAGAAATGGGCGATCTGCATCGTTTCATACGGAACGGAATTGATCCAGGGTTAAAGACCTGAGTTGTGGTCCGGCCAGGGTTTGAGCCCACAGCATACCACTGGGCAGATCGGCACTCACCTAACTGCGTACGTTATCTTAATTCATGAGAAACATATCGAAATCTCCGGCCATTCCTAAGAACACTCATTTGTGCAGTTTCCACTAGATGTAACTGTTAGTAGTACATACACCACAACCTCTACCGAAATGATTTTGGTATCCTTCCCCTGTACATATAAGCTATATGTAAGGAAAGGCTTCTTTGATCGCACCAATATTTGTGTATGTTTGAATACTTTAATTGATTAAGCGTAATTTTCTTGTGTCTAGTGGCTTCATTGCGCTCCTTGTCCGCTTTCGTGCTACCAAGAAACGACCCACAAGAGTCATCGCATCGCTCAACTACATTTGCTCTTCTTCAAACGTAATAAGGTATTGTTAGAGTAAATCGTTTTCGTACCATGTAAGAAAAGTCGCCAAAACTCAAGCAATGCTCTTTTTCTCTCAGTCATCTTTCTGCTAAAACTTACGATCAAAACAATGAAAAACCTCGCCGAGACGGTCAAAAGAATTCTCTTTGATCCCTGGTTTACTTAAAATTCCTTAACAAGACTCGCACTTCTAACGTATTCTTCGTCGTTAGCACTCACAAATGAGTTTATCAGATGAAAGTGCATCCGTTGCCCTGCTACGCTTAGTAAACAAGTATTGTCACGGCCACGGGCATGCGCAGTACGTTATTCAGCCCTGTCGATTTGCATGTATTTTTTTTTTCTGTCACAGTTTTTTGTGCTATTTTTTCCCCGTTTTTGTCCTTCCCCACCCTGACCACGTTTCAAATAATCAATACTAAAATGGTATAGTTACCTTTGCACCGGTAGGAAGAAGAGCTTTGTCATAACATTTTTGATACGTGAAGGTTCGGTAAAGAATCTGATTAACCATGCTTTCAGTATTCTCTGCATCGTCAAGTATCTGGTCGATTTTATCTGAATATTACATGTAACAAGAAATGTAATCATTTTATGGACCGGCTCCTAATAGTTTCTTTGAAAAGTTACCCCTCGGATGACACACAAATTCATACCCCCCATAGTGGTACAAGCGGAGGAGGGGGCAAGAATCCCCCCAAGGGTTTTTGATATGTTGCAGTATTTAGAAACGATTTTACCTTCAGTGGAAAGCCTTTGATCTTCTTAAGAAGATGAGGTATATTTAATGGGTGGTGGCACTGCTGGAGGCCTGTGACGTTACCAACAATTGTCGCCATCTTGGATTTTACCAAGAATTAGAAATCAAGTTAAAACCGCTAGAAATGGTGCTTTTTGCGCTTGACATGAAAAATAACACAAATAAGCACTTTGCATGATTTTAGCCACAAGATTTACTTTTATTGTTAAAAGAAGTTGAAAAACCATGTATTTCCACTCAAAATGGTTTGACCGCTTGCTACTTATGACGTCATATCTCGTAACCATAGAAACTGATCATCACTGGACCTCACTCAAAATGTGCCGAGGGATAAACGAACAGCTACTGAAAACGGCAGGTGCTGATGTTTTACCCTCTAGGAAAAAACTCAGAAAAACCTTAGGGGTGTGGCAACCTCCCCCTCTACCTTGTACGTCCGAGGGTTAAAATAATTTGAATTGAAAACAAATTGTTCCAATTACTGGAATAAGCTGAATTTTTGGGACTCAAATACATAGCACACTCACTTCCTGGAGGAAAGAAATCCCCGTATTTAAGTCTGTACTTGTCCAGTAAAAATTCCAAGACTCCCTGCAGTGAAACAACAATTGAAATTAAGTAAAAGTTGAGCGAGGTTCAACTTTAACGTTTCCGCGTGACCTTCCATACTTTGCCTAAGTCTATTTTTACCCTTTTCAGACCGGACTCTTTTGCTTGTTGATACGGCCACCGAAAACGGGAACGGAATTGAGTTGTACCATTTACAAAACACCGATAGATTTTCCACTTTCTCTCGGCATTAAGCCTGGCACTGGTAACCCAAACAACTGGTACAGAAAATTTCGGTCTTTTCGGTAAGCATGTGAAAAAGGTAATACCTCGAAAGGTATTACTTTTATTTCGGAAAATTTCCACCGGGATGAACCGTTCCACTTGAATTTTGGCCGAAATTTCCGGGTTTTCCATACAAATGGCAAGCGCTCACAATTTCGAAACGAATCAAAATAACAAGCAAATTATCCATTCAGCTTACTTTTCCCTCCTTTGCTGACGCAGTATCTTTTTTTCTGCATGTGCAATCCAACCTGACTTGTACGTGATTCGAAGTCGCAGCCAATAAAAATCACACAATTTTTCGGGACGGGCACGGGATAGTAGGGAAAAGTTAAAAAAACAAAAAAAAAACAAGGGTATTAAGGTGTTTGGGGGTGGGGGGGGGCTGTGGGTTCGGGGGGGGGGGCTTTGAAAACTCGGTGAGGTCAAGAGGTAGGGCATAAAATCTGGCAATAAAGCCAAGGGCCGAGCCAGCTCGGTTAGCTGGGATCCCAGTATTGTGATGCCAGGATTCAGGCTGGAAATTTTCCAAGTAATCACAGGCGCTTTCTGTTCAGTCCAAAATTCTGGAAATTTCGGTTAGAAATCAAATGGAACGGACCAATTTTGGTTCGGTCCGACCGGTATATTTGGGACCACCTTTAAAGGTGGTCCACTTTGACCGGTCCAGTCATTTCGGTCGCTCGAACAAAAATATCCCTTTCTATCAACAGCTCATGTAATACCGGGATAAAAGTCACCTCGGCAGAGCTATCCAGCCAGACAAACCGGGAAAGCCAAGCCGAGTTGTACTGTCATGCAGTTTGCACGTGAAAGCTTTGGAATTTGCCGCTTTTGTGGTTGGTGTAGGAGAGAAATCGATTTAATCTAATTAACCCAATGGAGTTAAAAATAACTGTCACCTACGCAGTTTGCACATGAAGATGTTGGATTGGGTTATATGTGGCCACTCATGTCATTCTCCTGATTGAAACAATCCAGTATTTATCTTATGCACAATCATGGCATTTTGCGTCACTGCTTGACATCTTCTTTGTATAATACGCCTGTGTGATTGCGTTTACGCGGGATGTTTTGTTGTAAGCAAGAATTATGTTGAATGGCGTTGGAAAGGTGAGTACTGTATCAACAACAAATGTGTGCAGGAGAGAGACTGGGATGTTCATTATTGTAAGTGTAAAAGGATATAAAGAGCAAAAAGACATCATCAAAATAAAGTGAGCTTGAAGACATTCAATAATAGGTGCGGTTACAGGGGACACTTTTACCATGGTAAATGACCCTTTTACAGCGGGAAATTGGCGTGGTGCGTGTGACCGGACTTTCATGAGATAAATTTACCATGCTGGTAAATATCCATATCCAAGGGAGAGAAGCCAATGAGGTTTTTCATTTGACTTCAACATGAAACGTCCAAAATGTTCTTTTTTTTTTTTTTTTTTTGAACGGGATTCTTTCGCACTGTAAAGAGAAAAAAAGGTTTTTTTTTTAACGGGATTCTTTCGCACTGAGAGAAGGATCGATGTTGATATGGCAGATTTCGCGTTAAGATTAGGGAAAATTGAACTGGTTTGTTGTGCTAGATTGAGGATAGACTGCGAGCAGTCTCTTGTTTTTCTTTGCAAACTCAAGTAGATTAAAGCCTGGGTCTTAAAAGATTTTTCACAATTTTTAAAGGGGGGTGGTATAACGTAAAGTATTTTTAAGATATCCCATGACTAATAATTTAAGGCCAATCATGACCAAGAAATCGTTCAGTTTCATTTTAAAAATTGTTTATAACTGCATCACGTGACCAACCACGCCCTGTTTTATCGAGAAATCCTTTGAGTCGGAATTCCCACCAGATAGAGAGCAAACCGTTTTCCTTTAGTAGGCCCAAAAAGTGGCTACTAATAGTTTTCTCGTTAAAACAATCGGAATGAAGTGAGGTCAATAAACGTCTTTCTCCTGTCGATAATTTTAGCTAGAGGAGGACTGGCACTAGTCAATGAACACCACTTGCACCTGCCAATTGAAATGTTTCGAGCCATTCCGAGCTGATTTCGCAGACACTTTGTAGGGACAATGTTTTGATACAGAGAAACTGAAGCTACTCGTTTGGCAATTGGTGGGAATCGTTGGTTGCAATTTTCGAACAATGGAGGGCGTGGTAAATCACGTGACCAAATAATTTAGATTTATTTTTTCCAATTTTTTAAAGTTTATTTTACTTTACCGTATATCCTTCTTCGTTGATGTTTTTAACCATAGTTTTTGGAAACTGTACATAAAAACCATAAACGTCTTCAGCTGTCAATTGACCATATTGTGAATGTCCTATAATTATAAAAGATGAGGACTTGCCAAGAGACGCCTGAGACACCCCTCCCTTCCTTTTGATAGCCTCCCCTACCCCACCCGTACAATCTGTAGACGTGTACGTACGTACGTACGTACGAGCTTTAGAAAATCTGTTGAAAATGCAGAAATTTGACCTGCCGCGGTCAACTTTGTTGCGAGTCGGACAAAATTTGGTCCCTTCGCTTGTCTAGACCCACACGTACGTACGTACGCTCGGTCAATCACGTGACAACCAAACGAAAAGAGGTTGACCATATTCCATGAGTATGAGGCTCTGTCCCTCACGCGCTTTGCGCGCGCGGGAGCCCCGCTATAATTGCCCATTTTAAACAGATTTTTACGCTAAAAAGGTCACCTAGAATTTTCGGGGGCCTTTTTTCTGGCTGAAAATTTCGAAAAGGTAAGTTTTGATCCCTATAATTTTTCGGATCACTAGACTTTCAGCTAGGAAATCCGAACAGATGAAAAACTTTGGGGGGATAAAAAATATGCCTATATCTACCGTTTAAATACTAAAATACGTTTAACAATGCCATGTTTAAGTGGTTTTGAACTACATTCTCGTTGGGTGCCCCTGATTTTAGAGTAAGAACATTTCAAAACGGTTCCCCGTCTGCTTATTGTAATCTACTGTGGGTCTAGACAAGCGAAGGGACCAAATTTTTGTCCGACTCGCAACAAAGTTGACCGCGGAAGGTCAAATTTCTGCATTTTCAACAGATTTTGTAAAGCTCTCGCGTCGCTATTAATCATTTGCCCAAAGAAATTTTTACAGGAATCTGTAGACCAACCTTCTAACATTCAACCACCAGCAGCTTAATCGATTTGAAGGTTTCGCTCATGGTGAAAATTATGTTTTTTTCACCCATTACTTTTACTGACGTAAAATGTATGCAGTCGAAATTAAATTATTTTGTATACAAAGAACAGAGCACTGTCTCCCCAAATCATTTTAACAGATATTTAGTGGTTGTAAAAGAAGGCTGTAATGTTTTAAAGACGATAGAGTAATCGGTGTTTTGCACGCGAGGCTTTCAAACCCATATATATAATTGAGCGCCTCAAATGACGATTTTAATGGGTTTTGGTTATTTGCATTTATCTCTGAAATAAAAGGATATTTCACCGAAAAAACTATACGGTGATTTTAGTTATACGCTAGGCTATCTAACATTAATATATGAAAGAAATCGAATTCTCCACCCTTGCCGCGAAATTTTGAATTTGTCTGATTTTTACAGAGAGGCGCTCTTAAATATATTTTGATCAGCTTTGGACAAATCTTTTTTTTGAGTGTTGTACATGCAATTATTTATTATAATGGAAGGATTCACCCTAAAAATGAAAAGGAGCAGTTAAGTACTAAAATGCACCTATTCTAAAGTGCATAGCACCAATTCAATTTTTCATTTAAATGGTTATCATTAGTTTCATGCGGAATTCTAATGAGATTTGCATGAAAGTATAATTTCTTTTCACCGCTGCCTATGAAATCACACTTCTGTACCACACTTCTTTATCACACTTCTTTCTACACGAATCACACTTCTCAAGCATGAATTCTAAGAAATCACACAAGTGAAGTGTGATTAAAAGTGTGATTCCATGAATCACACTTCTATCACACTTTCAAAGTGTTTTCACACGTGTGATCACACATTTTCATTTTTTTTTGGGGGGGGGGGGGGGCGGCCTTTACAGTGCATGCATGAACAATACTACTGGGCTTTAACGGTTTCTGATGATTCTGACTTTCAGCTGCACTTTTAAAGACTACTTGACAGTTGTTTTATCAATAACTATTTTCGTGTTGGGGTAAAAGGCTTTAGAGCAAATGTTGACTTCCAGCCTGTCTTAAATCATCACTTAAAAAAGTGTGTAACTTATGTTTGTTCATACTGTACAAAGGATGACACAGAAGGTTCACAGGCTATTGTAAGTGCAGCAAAAGAAGTTAAAGCTTCAAATTTAACCATTAGGGAAATCTTGAGAAAAATCGGAGCAGCTTTTCTTTCTACTAGAGAAGTGAGTGCACAAGAATGTGTATACAGATGTATGCCCGAACTTTGGTTAAGAAAAGTTTTTCCAAAAACAGTTTTCGTGACTTTCGTCGCCACTTAAACGATTAGGTGCAGTTACACACACCATGGTAAAAGGCAGTTCCCACGTTAACGAAGCCGTGGTAAATTTTAACGAGGATTTACTTTAATAATTTAGCCATGGTACATAGAGCTTTTTTAACGCTTCACCTTGGATTCCATTTTGCAGTTCAGCTGCATCTCACTGTTTGATTACATGCAAGGAATATTTTTGGGAAATATCCTTCCTAAATCTAGCCCAACAAACGAGTCCAAAATTTTCCCTAATCTTAACGTGAAATCTGCCATATCAACATCGATCTTTCTCTCAACAGTGCGAAATAATCCCAATAAAAAACAACAACAACAACAACTAAAACATTTTTTGGTGGTTTCATGTTGAAGTCAAATAGAAAACCTTGTTGGCTTTTCTCCCTTGGGTAGGGATATTTCCCAGTTGATAAATTTATCTGGTGAAAGTCAGGTCACACGCACCACGTCAATTTAGCGCGGTAAAAGGGTCATTTACCACGGTAAAGTGTCCCCTGCAACCGCACCTATTATCGAAAGTCTTCACGCTCACTTTATTCTGACCATGTCATCTTTCTCTTTATATCCTTTTACACTTATAATACTGAAAATCCCCCTCTCTCCTGCACACATTTGTTGTTGATACCCTACTCAACTTTCCAACGCCATTCAACATAATTCTTACTTACACCAACACATCCCGCGTAAACGCAATCAGGCGTCTTCGTGTTATGGACAAAAATTTAAGGAAATCGATTTTTGAGCTCTTGTCACTCGATGGTCGATATTTCCTGACCGTCGCTCTTAAGTTGTAGACAATAGCTGTGAGTATTTGGCTTCCTCATTAAAATCAAACAGTAACGACAAATTAAAAGGATTAAAACTATATTTAGCAACAACTTACTTGAAAATAAAACAATACATTTGTTTCTTCCTGCTCCACGGTCTCCGTTCTTGTACAAAAGTTGTATATGCATTCAGTAGGAAAACAAAAAATATTCCAAGGTACTGTAATGTGATAATAGTTTCGATACGTCTGAATTGCAATTGCTCTTTTGAAAACCCATTCGTTTCGCGAATTATCCTATAGAAAAAATGGCAGTGTAAACAAACATTGACAAAAGAAAAACCCCCAATAAACCTTATCCTAGATATTGTTGTACAGCGAGGTTTAATCTACGGTCAGGTGGTCCCAGCACCTAGGGGATGGAAAAGCTACCCAACAAAGTTTTATGCGGAGAAGCTCCTACCCGAGGTCCAAACCCTTATCCTTTCGTAGGGCGTATTAGAGAAGGGGGGCTTATGTGGAATTAACAGTGCATTAATTTTACGGTACCGAGCCATATCAGTCAAATCCTAAATGGTATGCACGAAAAAGAAGATAGTTTTTCAGCAAAATCTCTTTGTCAAAATGATTTGCCCGGTCATGGTCCGACCGGCCAGTTTTGACTTTTGGAAAGCTGCCCTAGTTTAGTTGTTTGCATCCCTTTTAACCGCTGTAAATGTGAGTAAGTCACTAAACTAGAAAATTTTCTCGACTTTTTCGAAGCCATAAAAAATATCCTTCTTTAGTAAAATTCAACAAGTGGTCTATTATCAGTGCTGCATTCTGATTGGTTGAGCTTCTGTATGTTGTAGCCCACTAGGTGAAAAGCGCCGGCTTTGAAAATCAAAACAATGGCGGTTGAATCGCGTTTTGCTAGCTAAAGTTGTTTTGTCTCGATATTTTTGACCAACTAGTTGGATTTTACTAAAACAATTATTCCTCTCGCCCTCATGGCCTCATTGACTAAGAGCCCATTCGGGCTCGAGAAATAATTGTTAAGTAGCCCTTTTATATAGGTCATTTTACAGACCAAAATGACAGATTTTCCCACCCTTGACTTCAACTAGTGAAATCCCCGGCCCTTTCATACACCCGGCCAGTGTAAACCATTATAGCGAGTATCTCCAGGTCCCAGCATTGGTGTCTCCCCATTATCTCAACATTACGGAGTGTTAGGTGTCTCGGTTGATAATACGGGCGCATTGAACTATGACGAACGTTATCAGTTTTAACCTAATGGCAACGAAATTTTAAGAAGAAGTGCAGCTATCATTCGGCGATAATATAAGACAATCGGATTGTACTTAATGGCATTTTTTAACGACCGTTAAATAATACGTTTTCGAAAAACGTGTTTCAAATAGTTTGAAACCACAGGAGGAGTGAACGTCTTCCCACAGTGCATTGCGATTGTGTTTCTTACTAGGTGGCGGAGTTTTCCTTCGCATGTCGTGTTTTTACGGTGTTTTTGTGTGACTTTTTTATAGGGTTAGAATCCTAACTAGAGGTAAGTAAGACTATTCATAGATTCTTTGTCTTTTTATCTACTCAAATGCTTCTTAAGTCTGCTTTGTTAGAGATTCATCGCGTTTACATTTGACCTTTGCGACCTTTTGTCTTTTGTCTGTCATTCGTAAACAATAGCTAAAACAATGAAACTACTCGGTCGACCAATTAGCGCTTCTGACCAGATTCCGGACAGATTTTGCGTCATCAGTATAGAATTTCTGTCGCCGAGTCGCAGACGTTCCTCCTCGCGAAACGTCCCTCAGAGGCGATGAGCGAGGAGAAACGTCTGCCGTTCTCAAGCTAATGCGTTACCACCAAATCTTCAATCATTTCAATTTCCTTTGCTTAACCATAAGGCAGGGTAGCCAATACCAAAGAAATAATAAAGTGATAAAAATATTACAAAGCAAAAAAATCTATCGTATTATAGACTGAAGACCTTCAAATCTTGAAATCTTGCCACGGGTCTCTTTGATATGATGTCAGTTCTTTGAATTCATAAAAGGTGAAAGGAATGGCTTTCATGGCTTTTCTAGCCTTCTTTTCACCTGTTTTATTGCCAAATATTTTTTTAAATATTTTGTGATCGAGGTGTTTATCTCATTTACATCTTTAGAGAAACCTGCAAATGTATGAAATCAGTCTTGCTCTTTAATAGTGGATGCTACATATCAAAGTGATGATGCAAACCAGACTCAGTTAGTTAGATTATAGATTTTAGAATATATGGATGGATCTTCTTGTTACCTCATTTTACATCACATAAAGTACCATCTTAGTGGCATTTTTATGTCAAATATCCATACAGTTGCTCTCCACTAAGAGTGTTATGTCCTGCCGGTGATAGTTTTCCTTTTCGATAATCCCATGGCAGGCCAATGTAAATACAGCACAATAATTGTGATGAAGGGATCACTTGCATTTTTAAAAATCTGTAACCACTGACATTAGGAGGAGTCACAGTGTCATGACCATTCTCCCAAGTGTGTGAATGTTTTTTGTTTTTG